GTAGGAGCTAGTCCGTGAATATGAGATGAGGGCTTTTGGTGAAAAAGACCCAATTTGAACCCTACACTACTTAACAAATAATAAAACAATTTTGATTATTATGTTTCTACCAACTCTTCGACGACACAAAGTTATGCCACCGGAAAGCAGAGGACTATCTGTATAGGGTAAAATATGCTCTGTTAAGTCGTGCAGGGAATAAATATAATTGAGCATAATTTTCAAGAATATATAATGTATATTACAAAAATGCCTTTATTTAAATAATTATTTTTATATTACGTGCATGGAATATATATTTTACAACCTTTATTTTCTTTCATTCTGAATTGTGTAAATAAATTTTTGAATTTTTGTTGTTAATACAAAATTATTATTACTAACAATATTCTAATTAATATTTTTACTATGCTCATTATTTTGTTACTCCAGCATTATATATGCCTAAATACTTTTTATTTTTTTAATTTATAAATAATATTTATTTATTCTATAGGTAAGTCCATAATGTAAATTAAAAATAAAAAAATCATAATATTAAAAAGTTTTAAAAAATAAAAAGAAGATAAATGTTTATAATTTAAAGGATAAAATAGGTATTTGACAATCCAAAATTTAAAAAATCTAGTTGAGTGACCTTCTGAGTGCAATAGGCATAGTTCAGTGACTTTATTGTTACAAAAAAAGAAAAGTGACTTTAAGAGATAATTTAGATTAGTTGAGTGACCATTTGAGTAATGAACTCCTAAAGACAGACTCATCAACAAGAATTTCGAAACTGTCACTATCAAGTATCAAAAACTCCCATCAGAAGCATTTTTTAAGATCTAAGAAAATCGCGATGAGGAAAATTGAATTAAACCATGAAGAAAATCAACACCCAAAACGATGCATCAAAACATGTTATTCCAAATTACTGTTTAATATGAGGGTTAAGGCTTTACAATAGTAAACTTAGACAATGACATTGACTACCAATTAGTACAAAATTCAAGTTGAAGGTTAACCGTGTTTTCATATATAATTAAATTTCATTATATGTCCGAGATGGACCACATAACCAAAACATTGAATAAGTTTTGTTTAATTAGTGTATTTCCTTAATTTCCACAAGCAAAATTATATTCACAGCAGGATCATTTATATTGGGTTTGGCAGGAAAACTGAACGTCGTCGGAAAATTCATTAATTCGTGTTAGAGTCGTCAATATGGGATTGGCCCGTTAGGCCGGCCAATCCAGCCCGTAATTTAATAGGGTTGTGCTAGAATTTTTTGAGTCTATTTAAAAATGAGGTTTTTAAGCCCGGCCCGAATAAGTCCGTGACCCGTGAAGCTTGACTGAAACGGGACCGACCGGCCCGTGGGCCTAGTAAAAATAAATATTTAAAATATAAAAAATATGATAAAAAAAATAACAAGAAGAGTGTCACGACCCAAAATCTAGCCATGTCGTGATTGCACCTATCGTGATACTTGGCCAACCACTTATTTCCAAATTTTCCATTTTTTCAAATAAAAACTTAAATAAACCATAGTTTTAAAATAGAAGTTCAATAAGATAAAAGTAGTGATAAAAATCCAACGGAAGAAACACAATCCCGATCTCGGGTGTTACTAAGTCATGAGCCAAAACTAATACAATTGTTTCAAATGATATGACCAACACGGTCTGAGAATATCCAAAACATATAAACTAAAGGAGACAAGGGAAGGAGAAGGCGGAACTGCGGTCGCCAAGCAGCTACCTCGCAATCTCCAAGTGAAAGTCTGCACAATAAAATCAGCAGCCGCTACCGTGCCCCGAGATACCTGGATTTGCACACAGGGGTGCAGGGGGTAATGTAAGTACACAAACTCAGTAAGTAACAAGTCCAAACTATGGACTGATGGTAGTGACGAACTAAATCTTAACAAGTTGCAACAGTTAATTGTACAGAAATGTAGACATGCTTACAGTTCAAGTAAAGTTCAACAGTATTTAAATGCAACTGATAGTACGAAGTTCAAAACTCAAGGATTTTTACATATACAAATGCACAACTAGCATGATCAACGTGCTATGAACCTCCACTCACAAGTACTCAATCCTTCGGTATTGTATATGGCCATCCGGCCCAGGGAAGATCCATCCCGAAATATACATCACTAATCGCAGTCATCCAGTATCGAGGACACATGCCAATCCAGCCTCACGGAGAAGATCCAACTCCTGGTATAATACTTCGGACAAGATCCATGTCTAGGGAAGATCCATCCCTAAATTTCATCATCTGTACTCACTGGGGGTGTAAAGACTCCGGAGGGGCTTCTCTCATTAGCCCAAGCGCTATAAGAAAGCCAACGAAGGCTTGTTCAATATCTCGCTGCGGTGTGTTAGCCCAATCTCATACTGTCAATCAATATTAGGCCCCCGGCCTCACTCAGTCAATACTCTCTAATCTCACACACACGGGCTAACAATGTCATGATACGAGCCCGAACAATGATATGATATGTCAAATAACAATAATCAAAACTGGGGCATGATATAATACGGATGAACAGGATAGAGTATATATTATAAATGAAACTAATGGCATGACAACAAGAAACGACCTCTCGGGTCTCAACAGTGTTGGCGTGAAGCCTTAACATGATAATTAACATGATTTGCAACTAATTAGCTTAAGCACATAATTTACAACACAGTTATCAACACAAAAGAGTCACTAAGCGGTGCCATGGAATGATCCAGGCTGCATTTATCACGGTGCATGCTCACACGCCCGTCACTTGGCATTGAGTCACCTCAATAGTAATCATAGAACGCATAGTTTGGGGTTTCGAACCCTTAGAACCAAGTTTAGAAGCGTTACTTACCTCAAGCCAAGCCAAGCTCTAGCCCGCAATGCCTTTTCCTCTCGATTCAGCCTCTAAATGCCCCAAATCTAACCAAAATCAGTATATAACCGTCAAAATATGCTAAGGGAATAAAGTCCACTCGAAAATAATCAAATTACAATAGAAATTCTGAAATTGACCAAACCCAACCCCCGAGCCTACGTCTCGTAATCCGACAAAATTTACATCAATGGAAACCTTATTCCTCCCACGAGTTCATTCATACCAAAAATACCAAAATCTTACCATAAATGACCCCTCAAATCCTTAATTTTAGGTCTTCAATTTTTCAAGCCCTAACCCCTAATTTGTTACTGATTTTCCCACAGGTTTCAAGCTTACAACCTTAAAAAATCATCATGAAAACGAGTTTAGGGACCAAGGACCTTACCTTTAAGAAACCCTCTTGAATCCTCACTTGAATTTGCTCCCCAAAGCTTCTTCCCGTTTGAAAAGAGATGGAAAAAAATTTAAATTCGTGAAGGTATCTATTTATATGGCCTGCCCAATGATACTGCATCTGCGGTCCAATTCCCGCACCTGCGGGACCGCTTCTGCGCATAATCAACCACTTCTGCGGTTTTTCATTTAATCCTCTTATCTGCACCTGCGACTCAGACTCCGCATCTGCGGGCTCGCAGGTGCGACCAACCTTCCGCATCTGTGGCTTCAACCTTCTTCGCCTGTGGCCACATCTGCGGCTTGATCTCGCTTCCGCGGTCATCGCACCTGCGGCTCCCTAACCGCATGTGCGGTTATAACAGTAAAATCAGCAGCTTCAGCTGCTCCAACAATCTCCCAAACTCCCCGTTATCCATCCAAAATCATTTCGAGGCCCCCAGGACTTCAACCAAAAGTACAAACAAGTCATATAACACTATCCAAACTTATACCAATCTTCAAAATACCTCAAACATCATCGAATCAACCAAATAACATCGGATTCAAGCCTAAGGTTCCAAAATCTTCCGAATTCCGCTTTTGATCAAAAAGTCTATCAAACCTTGTCCGAATGACCTAAAATTTTGCAGACACGTCATAATTGACACCACAGACCTTATCCAACTTTCGGAATTCCATTCCGACCCCTATATCAAAATCTCACATATCAATCGGAAAATGCCAAAATTTCAATTTTGCCAATTCAAGCCTAAATCTACTCCGGACTTCTGAAACACCTTCCGATCATGCTCCTAAGTCCCAAATCACCTCCCAGAGCTATCCAAACCATCGGAATTCACATCCAAGCCCTCTTTCACATAAGTCAACATCCGGTTGACTTTTCCAACCTAAGCTTACTCACAAGAGACTAAGTGTCTCATTCCTTTCCGAAACCTCTCCGAACCCTAACCAACCAACCCGATAGCACGTAATATAGTTGAACAAGACAATAAGAAGCAGAAATAGGGAAACAGAACAGTTACTCATGAAACAACCGGCTGAGTCGTTATATCCTCCCCCTCTTAAACAAACGTTCGCCCTCGAACGAGTCAAAAAACATACCTGAAGCCTCAAATAGGTAAGGATATCTGCTCCGCATCTCCTGCTCGGTCTCCCAG